AAACTTCCAAGTTGAAGACTCGTCTCCCCACAAGGCACCAGGAGATGAGTAGACATTTCTCCATGTCTGTGGGGACTGAGAGTCAGATTCAAATGACAATTTCACAGTAAACAGCATTTTACATAGTTAATTCACTGTTTTTTGGATCGCAACAGTCAGCAAAGTATGCATAATTAACATCGCTTTGTATAATTAACTGCCGTGCTATCAGGTAATTAATAGACAGTAATAAGGCCACAGCTTCCTGTGGCGATAACAGGAGCCAAGTGCAGTGACTAGATAACTTTCCATAGCAAGATTAGTGAGACAAAGAACTGAAGGTCATGGAAAATGGCAACAGTCACAGTTTCTGCATTGCTTGAATGAATATGATCTCACAAGTTCCCTTTCTCCCTTCTCAAAGAAAAAGGAAAAAAAAACAGAACTGTGGAAAACACAGCAAATTCTTATAGTGGTACTTTTACACAAACAAACAAAAACACTGTGGTGGTCAAATTTGATGGACAAATTCTAAATTTACATTACCTACAAAAAAAAAAAAAGAAATGCTGTTCAGCAAATTCAAGGAACACAACCGAGTGAATCAAATGAATCAGTGAATCATTATCCGAACGAATTGACTCACTGACTGAACTATTTGAAAAAGAGACATTTTAATTTTATTAGATTTGATTGTTACTGTGCATTACTACTCATTGGGTAAAAAATAGTTTGTTACTGGGCAGGATCAATTATTTTGAAAAGAGGTGACTTGCCGTCATGCTACTGAGAAAAGTTAGTTAGTTTAAATAGTTAGTTTAACTTTAACGCTGCTTAGAACCAGTTTTATTGTTAACTAAAACTATTAAATATAAAATAAAATATAAATATTAGAAAATTAGAAATTAAAAGAAAATTAGAAATGTTGCCTTGGCAACTAACTGAAATGAAAACCTGTAATAAACTGTAACGGAAATATTATTAAAAAAAGACAAATAAACATAAATTAAATCAAATTAAATCTAATTAAAAATACTAACAAATACTATAGTAGTAAAATAATGATACTGTAATAACTGCCCAGAACCTTGTCAAACAAACTCTCAAATGGACTGCTTTTCCCAAAATCAATAGTTTAATAGTCAATCAATAGTCAAGTCAAAATCAATAGTTCTAACAAAGATTTGCAAACAGCATTGCAAAGTTGTGTGGTTGGAACGACAGCTCTCGACCTGCGGTTAGAAGCATAGTTTCTTGTTTGCATGATATGTGGACTTAAAGGGATAGTTCACGCAAAATGAAAATTCTGTCATTAATAACTCATGTCATTCCAAACCCATAAAACTTTATTTATCTTCAGAAAATTTAAATCACTCAATTCATATGGATTAGTTTTACAATCTCTTTATGAAGCATCAAAGTAGTTTGCGTACAAGTTCTAACGAATCTGGAAATAAAGCAATTCTGATAAAAAGAAGAATTAGTCCTCAGATGCCATGTCTGTAATTTATAGCATATAGGTGTACAAGCCAAAAATCAAACTGTGACATTGATATTTCTTCTATGCATCCCTGAAACATTGTTTTCCAATGAAATCAATACAAACGATCCTTTAAAAAGCATCCTTGCCTCAAACACAGTATGGGGTTAACAGAATGACCTTACTATTGTGATACACTGCAGAACAGAGAGCAGCTCAATATGCAACAGTTGATCAGCTATATCTCAGAGACAAGCAGAGTCCAGTCCGCACAACAAAGCATCATCTGTTTCTAAAGGCAAACAACCTCAGCAATGAACTCCCCTGCCACGCTGAGAACATTGAGCTCGGTATGTGGATGACCCCCTGCTGTGACCGGGCCAAGGTCTCAGACAGCAGAGGGAAAAGGGCAGAAAACGACATGTGTGTGAGCATATGTAGACGCAACCACTACATTGAATGGATTTCAAGCAGACTGCTATTCACAGGCCGAGGCACTTCGCCCTAAACCCAATCAGCACAAACAGAGGTAACCCAGACTCTCCCTCTCATAAACAAAGCGCATACAATACAAACCCTCCTGTGAGCAGGCCCCGTTTGCGAAATTACAATTAATTGAGCACAATAGGCTGAGTCTGGCTCCAAATGTGACCTCACTAACTGGACAGAGACCAGAACAAAATTAAACTCTGCAGGGCTCACCAGCACCAAACACAAAACACATTTACTAATTAGACTGTTTTTGATAGATTTGGTGTCTGACATAAAATAAACACTAAGATTTTAAAGATTTTGTAATCTGTAGCATCAAGTCAAGTCACATTTATTTATAATACTCTTCTCAAACATTTTACAATAGAGATCGTTTCAAAGCAGCTTTACAGAGATAACAGGAACATAATGCAACAAAGTTTGTTTTACAGTAAGTGAGATTGTAAAATCTCACCCAATGTAAAATGCAAAACGACTTCATTCGGACTTTGGAGTGGCTACAGAAAAAAAAGACCCATGTGAAAACAAGGATACATATCGGAAGGACATTACATTGACATTAACAATTTGAGAACAAAGTATAATTTGCACGTGTTAGCGTGATATGATAAGCGATTTTTAGATTTAATCGGCGTGATTTACTGCAATATCAGAACCAGAACAAAAGTGGATGTTACTTACTAGTTTAGATGACATTTTCCAGTGAAAATTCTCATGTTGGTCATATTTCTAAAAAGAATAATTTGTGATTCTGAATGGCAGGATCAACATCGGTGCGGTGACTGACAGCCTCACACTTTTTTAAACATTGTGTTCATTCGCGTGCCGTGTCGAGGGTGTTGAAGTACAACTCACTTAAAGGGTTAGTTCACCCAAAAATGAAAATTAAGTCATTAATTACTCACCCCCATGCTGTACCAACCCCGTAAGACCTTCGTTCGTCTTCGGAACACAAATGAAGATATTTTTGATTAAATTTGAGAGCTGTATAACTACCACATTGGCTCCTAAGGGACTGCCTCTTGACGGCCCAGAAAGTCAATGAAGAAAATGTTTAAATATCCCAAGTGACTACCGTGGCTCAACTATATGTTTATCAAGCGACGCGAATACTTTTTGTGCGAAAAAACAAACAAAAATAACGAGTTTATTCGACTATTTCTTTTCTTCCTTGTAGGCCAGAACGAGACTTCCTTGTAGATTTCCACGACGCATGCGCGAGAATTGCGATCTGAAGTAGTGAAGCTGGTGTGAGCAGATCGCAAATCTCGCGCATGCGTCGTGGAAATCTAAGGAAGTCTCGTTCTGGCCTACAAGGAGGAAAAGAAATAGTCGAATAAACTCGTTATTTTTGTTTGTTTTTTCGCACAAAAAGTATTCGCGTCGCTTGATAAACATATAGTTGAGCCACGGTAGTCACTTGGGATATTTAAACATTTTCTTCATTGACTTTTTGGGCCGTCAAGAGGCAGTCCCTTAGGAGCCAATGTGGTAGTTATACAGCTCTCAAATTTAATCAAAAATATCTTCATTTGTGTTCCGAAGACGAACGAAGGTCTTACGGGGTTGGTACAGCATGGGGGTGAGTAATTAATGACTTAATTTTCATTTTTGGGTGAACTAACCCTTTAAAGTTGATAATTCTGCGAATGACTGCAATTGCAGATTTCGAACAGAGATGGCGACAAAGAGGAAAAATTGCAGACTGCAGTTTAATGCGTTTTAAGCTATTTTGTGCTCCCTTCCTTATGTCTTTCCCAGGATGATGTAGGCCACGGCTTTACCTCAGGTATGAAGCTAGAGGCAGTGGACCTCATGAAGCCCCGGCGAAATTTTAAAGTAAATTTTACTGTTATTGCTCTGTACAACTTATCTGTTATTGTCAAGTTATATCTGTTATTATCAAGCCTGTAAAAAAATATTTTCAAAATTTGTTATCACAACTTTTTTTTTGTCAGATAAACTTAAATAATTTATTTAGTTGAGATAACTTATTATTTTGAGTTTCTGATGATTACATTAATCTCCTTCATTGTATTAACTCACTTTTTCCAGTTCAATCAACTTAAAATTTTGTGGCAACCAGGTTACTTTACCAGGTTTTTTACAGAGTACTTACTACTGAACTTAACATTCATTTGACTGACACTTAACATTTAATTGAAGAAATTAAGTCAATTATACTTGATTTATTTAATTTCACATACAGAATTAGGTCAAATCAACTAAGTTAAGTGAATTTGTCGACTTAAAGTGCATGCTTTACTAAGAAACATATAAGTATATAATATAATACAATAATACAGTAGAAATTGTATAGATTCAATACTGTATCTACATAATAAATAGTAACATGGCATCCAACACAGACTCCTCAATACTTGGTACACGATACACAATGACGGTAACATTTGATAGATCGTTTTTGAGTAGAAAATGAATCCAGATGTCACAAAATGGCAAGTTACCAAACCTAACAACTAAAGCTATGATAAAATGATGTAAATACAGCTGGAAAACAGTGAAATCAAGCTTATTAATTATTCTTGCTCCAGTGCATGGTGGAAATACCAGTATTAGAAAAGTTGAGTAGGTTTTACTTCATTTTATTTTACACTTACACTACATCTAAAGCTTGAATTGAGAACAAATTTAGAATTTCCTTGGTTTTGTTTTTATTCTTGCCTGAATTAACTTTTTCATGTAGAAATTATATTAGTCATTTTCTGTAGCATTTACTTCACCACATAATTACTTTTATCAGTGTATATTTGTTCAGCCGTTTTAATGGATTCAAGAAATGTAGCACTTTTATTAAAATCATTTTTTATTTATCTTAATTTTAATTAAAAAATAATAATACAGATTTAAACAGATGATTCTGCAGAATTGCTTATAATAGTTCCAAGAATGTTCTTTGTATGATTTTTCCGAAGTGTCCGAGTTTCACTTTTGGAATGCAGCGTAATAGTATTGTAACACAGAAGCCAGTACACACAATTCACACATCATTAAGCTTTGCAGGCTGGTGTGAAAACCGCATTCTCACCTGCATCCTGAGAGTTCAGCACCTCCAGGGCATGCATCATGGCACTGGCAAATACATTGGCATCTTCTTTGCTGCCAAAGTTAAGGCCGTACACCTGCCGTGCATCTCGCCACTGGTGAAACGTTTGTGTGGCCTGGTTGTATTTCAGCCCCTTGGGAATGGCACAGTTTATTACCACCTGTTGACAGAAGAGAATATATAAATTCCAGTCCAAACTGAACTCAAAAGCTCAGACGACTTTGAAGCTAATATCCGCTAATAAGCCAAAAGGAAGCAGTCTATACAAATTTACAGGTAAAATGGCACTAAACACAGTTCACACACATTAAATTGAATGTTTTCAAGCATATTAAAGGGATATTTCACCCATAAAATGAAGATTTGGTCATCTTCTAACCCTAAAGTTGTTCTGAACCAAACCTGAATTACTTTCTTCGTCTGAACACAAAAGAAGATTTTTTTGAAGAATATGGGTAGCCAAACAGTTGAGTGTTGACAGCAAACTGTATGGTTATTAACATTCTTCAACATGTCTTCTGTGTCTTCTGAAAGAGTAAATGATGTCAGACTTTTTATTTTTGGGTTAACTATTCCTTTTAAAGAATCATCTGTACTGGAATTGCTCATGTTAATAAAACTCGTGTTTAGCAAGGCTAACATATTCCATGTTTTGCAAAAACATTTTCAAAGTTACTCATGAGATCAAGCCGCTAAAATGCGAGGCTTCAAAACAGTTTCAAGTAAAAAAAACTTCTAAAACCTCTCAATAAACCACCACAAAGCAGAAACATCAGCATTACTGAAAGATGACAGATAACAGTGCACTTCAGCAACCAAGGCTCGTTCTCTAAAAGATTCACAAGGACGAACTTGAGATTGAAAAACTGCTGCACGCAGCACCTCTATTCTTGTAGATAACAAAAAAGTAAAAGCATTTCTTTATAAGTTTCACAAAGGTTGCTGAGGCCAGCTCGGCTTCAGGCAGCATTAACACTAACTGGTAACTGCAAATGGTTGGGAGATACTTAAATATCAAACGCTTGACTGACTTCTTAAACTCTCCCAAAAGCATGTCCTCAACAGGGTGAATCTTTCTCGAAGCTTCTGTGGTAACTGGCTGTTTTCCCAGTCATTTCAATTTCTCATCCTTTTGACATCAATGTAATTATCATAAGAAGTGCAACTAATTGGCAAGCGTTATAAAAGGAACTGTGAACTGTAAGCCATCCTGTCACAACTGACAAGTGCAGAAAACTTCTCAGTTTTCTCAACACATTAATGAAACTGAGCAACAGGAATTAAAAACTGGGCTATGGTTCTATATATGCAACAATGTTTTTTGTATTGTTGTATATTTTTAAATTTGTAAATGCATGTAATATATATTTGTAGGCCTATATAATATACAGACATATACATACTACATATATGTGTAATATACCACTGGTAATGCATTTTGTTTTCATTTTTGATGAGTCCTGCTCAGCTTGCTATGGAGTGTTGAATCTGTGCTAAGAAGTGTCTACTAAATGACTAGTTACTGGCACACTTGCAGGTATAGATCTGAAGACAGTCAGTTATATATAGATGACAAGGCTATTATCATAGGTCGAATGTAAAATGCGTGTTGACATTTGCCTTGTAAACGGCACTTCAGCGCTTTACTCATTTCGGTCATTAAACCACCATGAATAGCTCATCAACAAAATGTCAGTAAGTTTCCTGAAGTAATCTGATACACTCCATCCTCAGATATCACTGTGATGATTGTGCCGGTCATGAATTATTAACGTAACCAGGACTAAAATGGCCTAGCTATTCTCAGAGGCAGAAATAGGCTTTTCAGGAAACACTGAATAACCATAAAATAGCAATGAGTCATGTACAGTCAGTGTCATCACCCCATCAGCATTTCTGCCTTTTGTGCAGGGAGTGACAACCACAGTCAAGGTTACCAGTAAGTGCACATTACCTTGCACTTCACTTAAGTGTAGAAAAGTGTCCTCATCCAAACAAAGGAAAAGAAAAAGGTTTCTTTAACGGTTAATTTAATTTTAATGGGGTGGTGATGGCGCAGTGGATAAGACACATGCCTTTGGTGTGAGAGACTCGGGTTCGAATCCACTGTGAGACACCAATGTGTCCCTGAGCAAGACACTTAACCTCTAGTTGCTCCAGAGGCGTGCGACCTCTGACATATAGCAAGTGTAAGTCGCTTTGGATAAAAGAGTCAGCTAAATAAAATGTAAATGTTAATTTCTTCACAGGAAAAGAACAGATAAAGAAAGAACGAGCCAGACACTAATTAAATTCATATGCATTATGTAGCCAGCAGTGAATTACATTATATGAAACGCTCTAAATTTAGTAGGCAGAGGTGAAGTGTAGTTTCTGTGAAACAAGAAGAAACACCAGACAATGAAGGGTCTTATCTAGGACCCTTCGAGTCATGACTCGAAAAAAGATTTGTTAATTTTGATGAACAATTTTAAACAGGAGAGTCACGAACGCTCATCACAGAACAGAGCAAGGCGAGCATTTGTGCTAATAAAGCGTAAACTTTTTTATTTATTTTTGAAATGACCAATGGTTTCGCTAGATAAGACCCTTATTCATCGTCTGGTGTTGTTTAAAGCCCTTTGAAGCTGCACTGAAACTCTCATTTGGACCTTGAACCGTTTGGTTCCCATTGAAGTCCATTATATGGAGAAAATCCTGGAATGTTTTCATCAAAGACCTTAATTTCTTTTCGACTGAAGAAAGAAAGACATGTACATTTTGGATGACATGGGGGTGAGTAAATTATCAGCAAAAGTTTTTTTTTTAAAGTTAACTACTCCTTTAATCGATAAACAGAACACAGCTGGACATTCCAGACTAAAAAATGGTTCAACAAAGTGACAACATAGCTGAAGACTTGCTATTTAAAGACACAATCTTACACAGCCTTCACGGAGTAACCTTCATAGAGAAAATGATTGGCTGGCAAGGATATAATGGACTTGGTTATATCAGGATACAAATACGTCCTTGATGTCAGGTAATATATAATGTAGACTTTACAAAAAGGCTGGGATGGGATGGGACAGCAGCAACTTTATTGGGCCTAAAAAAAGAATGGATAATTCAAATTATTAAACATAAGCATGTTTAGTAAAAAGTAAAAAAAAAAATTGATGCATGAAACCTTGAATTATGTACAAACCCGATTCCAAAAAAGTTGGGACACTGTACAAATTGTGAGTAAAAAAAGAATGGAATAATTTAGAAATCTCATAAACTTATATTTTATTCACAATAGAATATAAATGACATATCAAATGTTGAAAGTGAGACATTTTGAATTGCCATGCCAAATATTGGCTCCTTTGGATTTCATGAGAGCTACAAATTCCAAAAAAGTTGGGACAGGTAGCAATAAGAGGCCAGAAAAGTTAAATGTACATATAAGGAACAGCTGGAGGACCATTTTTTACCAATACTTTTTAGGTCAATTGGCAACATGATTGGGTATAAAAAGAGCCTCTCAGAGTGGCAGTGTCTCTCAGAAGTCAAGATGGGCAGAGGATCACCAACTCCCCCAATGCTGAGGCAAAAAATAGTGGAGCAATATCAGAAAGGAGTTTCTCAGAGAAAAATTGCAAAGAGTTTGAAGTTATCATCATCTACAGTGCATAATATCATCCAAAGATTCAGAGAATCTGGAACAATCTCTGTGCATAAGGGTCAAGGCCGGAAAACCATACTGAATGCCCGTGATCTTCGGGCCCTTAGACGGCACTGCATCACACACAGGAATGCTACTGTAATGGAAATCGCAACATGGGCTCAAGAATACTTCCAGAAAACATTGTCAGTGAACACAATCCACCGTGCCATTCACCGTTGCCAGCTAAAGCTCTATAGGTCAAAAAAGAAGCCATATCTAAACGGGAAACAGAAGCGCAGGCGTTTTCTCTGGGCCAAGGCTCATTTAAAGTGGACTCTAGCAAAGTGGAAAACTGTTCTGTGGTCAGACGAATCAAAATTTGAAGTTCTTTTTGGAAAACTGGGACGCCATGTCATCCGGACTAAAGAGGACAAGGACAACCCAAGTTGTTATCAGCGCTCAGTTCAGAAGCCTGCATCTCTGATGGTATGGGGTTGCATGAGTGCGTGTGGCATGGGCAGCTTACACATCTGGAAAGGCACCATCAAATGCTGAAAGGTATATCCAAGTTCTAGAACAACATATGCTCCCATCCAGACATCGTCTCTTTCAGGGAAGACCTTGTATTTTCCAACAAGACAATGCCAAACCACATACTGCATCAATTACAACATCATGGCTGCGTAGAAGAAGGATCCGGGTACTGAAATGGCCAGCCTGCAGTCCAGATCTTTCACCCATAGAAAACATTTGGCGCATCATAAAGAGGAAGATGCAACAAAGAAGACCTAAGACAGTTGAGCAGCTAGAAGCCTTTATTAGACAAGAATGGGACAACATTCCTATTCCTAAACTTGAGCAACTTGTCTCCTCTGTCCCCAGACGTTTGCAGACTGATATTAAAAGAAGAGGGGATGCCACACAGTGGTAAAAATGGCCTTGTCCCAACTTTTTTGAGATGTGTTGATGCCATGAAATTTAAAATCAACTTATGTTTCCCTTAAAATTATGCATTTTCTCAGTTTAAACATTTGATGTCATCTATGTTGTATTCTAAATATAATATTAAAATTTGAAACTTCCACATCATTGCATTCTGTTTTTATTCACAATTTGTACAGTGTCCCAACTTTTATGGAATTCGGTTTGTATTATAAGTGGACCTCAGGGAAAAAAAAGGACTATCACTTAAAAATGTATATAATTATATATATACACATGTATATTATATTTTGTATTACATATATTATATTTAGTTTTTGCAACAAAAATGCATTAAAACAAGGTCCCATTGTCAGTTTTTAGAAGTTGTTATAGGGCAGTTAATGAAGTCTCTCCCACTACATATTGGAGTTCACAAAATACACAAAAAGATGACAGGTTAAAAAGTTACTAAAGCAGCACATACCACACACGTGTGTAGATGTTTTAGTAGATGTCATGAATTTGAAATACCACCAATAAAAATCAGTAATATGCCCTCAACCTAGAAGCATTCAGAACAGAGTTTTTACTGCCACACCATGTTTCCTGAATGCGAACATGGTTTTATATAAGACATGTTAATAGCATTTATAATGGGACCAAAGGGCTACAGTTAATCTCAGCAAATGCCACCTTAAACCCAGAGACAAATGGCTTCCTAAACACAGAAAGGGTTCTTGTACAGAACCTAAAATCCAGACTTTTTGTACCATTTCCATTTAATACATTAGCTATAGGGTATAACTAATCCAGTATTATTAATGCTTTAGAAATAAAGTTTTGGTGACCTTTTTTAATTTCTGTTTGACCCATACATCTTTGAATATTCAGTGTCAGGTCAGGAAATAGATAGAGTGCTTGATCAATTAATAGCTAGAAGAAGAAAAAAACCAAGACAGATAAGGTCAAGGTTACTCTAAGTAAAACAACATTCCCAAATCTTGAATAGGAGAAAAGTATTGTTCAGAGCATGTAGCCTTTTATCTTAAGGAATGTGATTATGATACAAAAACAAAAAAAGTATCATTTACATCATGACTTTCTTTCTTCTATGGAACACAAAAGGAGAAGAGGCCATTCCTTTACAGAAAATAAAAGTGGAAGTGACCTGGGCTAACACACAAGAAGCACCACAAAAGTAGTCCACATGACTTGTGCACTATATTAAGTCTTCTGAAGTTTATGGCGCCATGTAGCAAAAGAAAGATTCATTTTGATGGAGCATTTAACATCTGGATCACTTGTTTGATCATTTTGGACATTATTCATCTTATTCACTTTCATCATTTGAGAAAGAAAATAGCCAGTACATTCTTGATCATTTATCATTTCTTCCTTTTATGTTTCACAGAAAAAAAAAAAGACAGCCGTACTCAAACAAATTGAGGGCGAGTAAATGACGAGAATTTTGATCTTTGTGTGAACTCTTCCTTGAAATACAACAATGAATCACTAAAAGGAAAAATGAACAGCATTTTCAAAAAGCATAACGTTCTTGTAATCACAACAAGAACAGGAGCATTTCTCATGAGATGTTATTCTCTTTAAACCACGCTGCGCTGATCTGTGAGCCTCTCAAACCTCCCGTGTTCGGTGTCATGGGTCATCAAAGCACCGCAGTGAAACCGGAGCCCTCTCTGCAGGGGAAGCCAACAAGGCCAAGCAGACGAGACTCAGTTAAACCCACTGGATGAGGATTGCCTTTACGACGTTCATATCAGACTAGATTCTAATAAACACCCACTTGTGACAATATTCACAATAAATTTGCAGCAATACCTATACTTTATTGTTAGTCCCCCATAGATAATTGCATCCCTTAAAACTCATGTTTGATCACCAAAATGAGATATTTAAAAAAATGTCCTTGAAAAAAAAAACTTGCCTTAAAATAATTTGATTGTAAATCTACAGTACAAGCTTGCCACTTTTAATATACGTACGGTATGAATGTAAAAATTTGCTCCGCCTCCACTCACTCAAAGAGATTCACTTGCTGAGGATCACACGTGACATGATTTGGTTATAAGGTAGATTAGGAAGTCATAAACACCAGCGATTTTAAAACGCGTTTTAAAACGGTCTTTAGTTCACTGCAGTTTTAAGGAGAAAATACTCAGCAATGGTGTTGACATTAATTTGCACATTTGTCTGAAAGAAAATCAAAAACACCACACAGACATTTCAACAACATTTAAAGCTTGATTTTTACTACAGGGGGACTTTCTAGATCTTTTATAGGGGGACTTTTAAAGAAAATATAAAAATATAAATAAATATTATAAAATATAAGCCCAAATGATTTGAAGTTTCTTGTTTTTTAAAGCCATTCTATTTTAAAATTGCAAATATCTACATTAAAAATAACGCATAAATGCCTAAAAATATCTTGAAATGTGGACCAAAATGATTATATAATTAATCTAAATTTAAAAAAAATATGTATCAATAAATAACATTTAAATAAAACTAAGGCTAAATATTGACCTCTCTACTAGGGCTGGGTAAAAAAAATAGATTTCTCGATTTTAATCTATTCTCATTTTTACAAACCGATATTGATTCTTAAATCCCAAGAATCGATTAGGCTAGTCATCCTGTTTTCAGTTGATGAATCACTAGGACATTGTAGCGCGCATCCTATCCAATAAATTTGCAATAATCTTTGTGTTTTGTTTCTATTGATATGAAACAAAGTCTCAGATTTCAAATTTCGTCAATTTTCTTATGAAATTCAAAAACATAAATGCCGCTCTGGCGCTGTTCAGCTCAAGAGAAGCAGCAGCATGGAGCACACGTGATCTTCTCTTCCACCTTAATAATACCTTATTGAACCGCCTTATGAAATAAACATGACTGAGCACCTGAAAGTGTGTTAAAAGATAGAGTAAAACTTATTGAAATCCGTATCATGTCACATGGAATCGCTCAATCAGTGTTTCAACCGTGGAAAGACGTCAGTAAAACAGCTTGTAAATGTCATGCAACATCACATTTACCTCAGAAAAACCACATACAGTGACCATAAACTCATTAGTCAGCTAGAAAAAAATGAGCTCTAGAGAGGAGCTAAATATATGCACCAAATTACATATTCATTATTTTTTATGTTCTTCAATATTTAATGCATGTTTGAATAAATCTGGCAAGTTTTTTATGACAGCCACCATTTAAATGTTTATATTTCATTTAACTTTATTGTTATAAAATAAATAAGTGTAATCTTTAAAAGTCAGGCAATTTTTACCTTCAATATTATAGAGGCAACTGACTCCCATAAATTACAGCATTAGTTAAGAGATTTGTTTTCCTTGAGAAAATTTGCCATTTATTTTACCTGATATCCAAAACAATCAATTATTAAATCGAAATCAAATTGCAAGCTTGTGAATTGAAATCGAATCGAATTGTGAAATTTGTGTCAATACCCAGACCTACCCTGTGAAGAGCATTTATTTGTCAATCCATCATGCTTTTTAATAATTGTCAACTCATTGGAGACCACATCTCCCGCTTTCTCTTACCTGGTGGTCCTGAATTTTACGGCCGACTACTCTGAAGGCGTTGTTGCCAGTGTGGTGATAGATGTGGACTCGACTAAAGCCTGTGGATCCACCAGCCGGAACCCACTTCTTATTGGCGTCGTCATATACCATGACAGCAGCCCGCGCCTGACAGATACTCTGCTCACTGGAAAAGAAGAAAAAGAGAGACAAATGCATTATTGGATGATGGAAAACTATTCACAATGTTTTTAAAAGGGTTCAAATTAACTCAAATGAACAGCCTCTGGTCTAAAATGGCAATAAATATGGGATCCAGGTCATTAAATTCAATGAAAAAACTTTAATTGTTCTTTCAATCACAGAACGCCTTGAACCACAATGAAGTAACCATCTGTCATGTGATCCTGCTTTGGCACTCATGTGCAGTTTTTGCACCTTTATAGGTCACCCTTTCATTAAGAAGTCACCATTAAATGTAAACACTGGAAATCAATTTTCTATCTCTCTGCTCACTTTGTACTATAGAGCAACTCTACCTTGCATATCACACTAAATTATTTACAATGACTTCCAAACTCCCACTGCGTTAATAGAAAAGCAAAAGAGCCACTGAAAGCATTTCCTTGTCATGTGATCACATTGAAGTAACACTTTTAATGCAGGTGGCAAAAGGAGAGACTGAGAAAGCTAAAGAAAAAGTGCTCTGACCTTGTAAAAAAAAAAAAAAAAAAAAAAAAATACTTCTGGTTACAAACCCCTACTCTAGAAACCTTGACAATGCATCTTAATATCTATTTTTCTTTGTCTCTTTGTTTTTATGGAAATGTTCATGTCCTAACTAAGCACTTGCATTCTTTTGGTTGCTTGGTTTCTCTCCACCCAGTAGCTCTAGTCAGCCAGAACACGGTGTAAAACTAACAACAACAACAACAACCTGATGTCCATTATTACACACTAACCTAGTAGTCCTCACAAGTATTGATATCACATAAAAACTTTTTTTTTTTAAATCACATACAAAAGACTTTGGACATCTGGGGAGATGGAAAGACTTCAAGATCAGATGCCTAACATAAGTTAAATAATCGTAACAAAGCGCTCGAGAATATACATCAGCAGACTGTTGAGTGTTTTGTTTTGCTTTTCCCTGAAATCAATCTGGGGACTGAGATGAGATCCCGGGATCATCCGCCTAGCAGATAAGGTCTAATCTAACAGGATTGTCCTCCGAGACCAATCCCTACACTTTAATTAAGGAAGAAGCATGCCGGAGTGGGCCGAACGGACTCTGCGGAGCTCGATGTCATATTACGGTGTAATTGATGGCAGACAGTCAGGGAGCAAATGCTTATTACAGGAGAACAGGTCAATGGGAGGGAGCCATGACACACATAAAAATAAAAATAAATCTTTCAACAAAAAACTAAGACTAATAGAAAGCATTCACATCCTGGAGCATAGAAACAAATGAATTACTCTGAAAATTTCAAATTTTATTTTATTACTGAGATCATATAAAACATGTTTGGTTTTGGTTGAAGTCTTAGAATATAGTGCTTGTGCTGTATCGGCCACTTTTGTGATAATTTTCAATTGTGATAAATTACCTATTTTTTAACCATAGACATTTTTTTTTTATTATTTCTACATTTTATATGTAATAAGCAAAACTCCACTCAGATTCAGATCATAGACCTCAAGAGCATCAATGAGGGTCAGGACAACAGATACAAGGACTAAACAGGACACAGGCTGAAATTTGCTGATCTTATGATACCTGGGAATGATCGTTTCACCCAAAATTTGCTACTGTAATGGCGCTTCTCCAATGCATGGTACAGTACGGCTCGCTTCGGTTCGCTTTAAATGATAACTGGTCGAACTGGCAGATCACTGATTGGTCAGACAGAATCGTCAGTATCAGCGTCATTGTATTTGCGACCAATAGACAGACACAAGAAACCAAACCAGCTAGATTTAAATAGCCAGAAACAGCCACCGCTGTTATCGATTAACCAAATCCCACCCACTTTAAAGCGGTACTAACTGCAGTGGAAAAGCAACCGAGCTAAAGCAAACTAAGCCGTGCCGTGTCGAGCCGAGTCGTACCATGCAGTGGAAAAGAGCCATAAGTAAGGTCCTATTTACACCTGGTATTAAGATGCGTTTGTCAAGTGGACCACAAGTGGAGGTTGTAAAACAGGGTCTAAAACATTTTGTTCACATTCGACCACTTCCAGAGGTAGTTGGAAACGCTTTTGTAGTGGAAACGCTCACATGTTCGAACAGCCATTAAAGACCGCCTACTCTCCGCCTAATGATATATAATGCATAAACATTATGGGAGGCACGCTTGCCTGTTGGGATTTAAACTTTGGCTGGAGACCCAAGTTTGGTTTGAAGATGTAAAAACGTACCAAGCTCAATGTACTCTTCACCATTCCTGATTTCTAACACAAACTCGCCAATTTCGGCGTGGTCTTGCAGCTATCAAAGCAGAAACTAAAACTGCTGCAAATTATGTCATAATAAATTGCGCAAGCTTATTTAGTCCATTAGGTTGAAAGATCTGAAAAAATCCTCCCCTAAAAGAAATCAGGCCATGGACACGAGCTGTAAATGTGTTTGTGTCTCGTCTCCCTCGTCTATCGCAATCTTAATACAGGTGTAAATGGAGCCTAAATTCAATCTGACACTTCAGCAGGCCTGGAGAACAGCGGATTTCAAAACATACAGTACGACGACACAAAGAACAGTGTCAATCCACCATTAATGTTCAATTCGTTTTTTCTGAATTGGCAAAAAAAACAAAAACATTTAAACAGATAATGTTTCCATTCAATCTCATTTGAGGTGCAAATACATCCCAAGGACAGACAGAGGAAAGCACACAAGGTTCTGTAATGAAAGGAAAACAACATGATGGAATAAAGCACACGGCCAAAATTATGACAGCTATGGAATTATATCCTCACATTTCTTTTTTATCTATCATAGGATTAATAAACCATTTAGGGAATTGTCAAAATAACAAGCTTCGCTGTGCTGGAGCCTGGAATTGAATGCAAATAAAAAAGCAGTTTAATATAAATAAGTTAAACTAGTAGTGTGTGAGTATGCAGGGTTTCAAGTATAATATAAAGCTGAACATTATATGATTTGTCTTTCTTCAAGTGAACAATAATTATATTAATGTGAATTGGCAAATAATTCTCTGAATCTCTGTTGCATGTCAAGTGTTTGACATATGGATCAAAGACGAAATGAAAAACTGTTTGTTTAAAGCTTAAAGGAATTAATTTGGCTGTAAAGAAGCACTATGAAAAATGTGTTATCAAAAACCCTATTATATGCACAAACAACAAAACATCCAAAGCAACATTTTCATTCCTTCATCGCCTTGACGTCTCAACGGCTAAAAAATACGACATCAGAGGGCTTTGTGCTGAGGCTGCAGTGACGCGAGAGCAAGCACTGCCTGCAAAATGCTCTGGGGAAGAGCATGGTAAACCAAGATCTGATTATGCAACCCAGCGCCCACAACATCAGGAGAAATAATCATCAACCTTCAACACGGCTCAAAGTAATGTCCTCAATGACAGCTCCATTGTCCCCGTCTGTGTAACACACTCATTCACAAATAAACTACACAAGTTAAGATGAAGGGATGCTTGTCGCAGCATGTGTGAGAATGGCATTGAACCAATAAACAAGCGGAATCTGCAAGCCGACAACACCAAACAAAAAAAGGGAACATTGTTAAAATCACTTATGTTAATGTGCTTTTTATTCAGCCGTAATTCTATCAGACTAGTTTTACTATAACCTTAATCAATGAATCAGCTCTGACTCAACAATATGCTTGCATCATCACTGAAAGTTTACAGAAGCAATTTTTGAAAACATTAAAAATGCATCTCAGGTAAATATTGTATAATCTGTCTAAATAATATAATATTTGTTCTTTTAATTTCATAAAACATGACATTAAACATTAAAAATGTATCTGGCGACAAAGGTTGAAATGATAGTGTCACCGCTTTTATTTTTATGTAAAAAAATAAATAAATAAAATAAAACGTCCATTTAGGAATTTCAAATCATGCATTCATGTTCTATAATTCACAAGTCACAAAACACTACATGAGAATTAAATATAGATCTAGATATGTTTCAATGTATGATGAATAGCCCTGAAGGTTTGATATGAATCATGCATGTCACGAAGGCCAACTCAGACACGTTCACACTTTAACACTTAGTTTGTTTACACAGCGCGAATTGTCTAACACTATAACTCATGCCATCTCTAAGCCACATCACAAATCCTCTGAGACTCTAGCAAGCAAAAGGATTCAAACCGCCTCACGAGTCAAGTGAAACCACTGACCTCAGGTCCATATATTTACAGAGCAATCCTGCTCTCCTCAGGGATTTCTGAGGTATTGTTGAAATCTCTCACAAAGAATATCAAAAAAAGAATGAAATACAGACAAACAGTTAGACAAAGTCTCAGTCAAGGTTACCACCGTGATATCACATTATCACCCTGTTCTTGTGTGATGGCTCCACAACTCCAAAAACGTAATGCAAAACCACAATGTGTTTCACACAATGAAGGAATAGAGTAGAGCCAGACCGATATATCGGCAGACCGATATTATCGGCCGAAATTAGGCATTTTCCAAACTATCGGTATCGGCAGTTATAATTGCCGATAAATGAATATTTCAAAAATAAAATAAAAACGGACGAAAAACATGAACCATGTCATGAGTGTTGGAGTTGTATAGTTTGTCCACCAGAGGGCACTCTACACCGTCCCTGTTGGCAACACTCGTTGAGTTGGTCACGATACATACATTGTTTGAATAACAATTAAAAGAACATCCCCATCAGTTCTCTTAACTCAAATAAGCATGACAAAATTTGTGACTATCATGTCCAGATTTGCTGCTGTTAAATAAGCCAAGAGTGAAGCGGAATTAGCTAGTAATTGTAACGTTACGTTGTTATAGTGTAGTTGACTGACTGTCCTTTTAACTGAAGTATTTCTTTAATAGCATGTGACAGTTATAGCAATGAGACATACCATCTCTCCTTGGCCTGTTGTATTGAAAATGTATGTTTTACAATTTGCAGTATGACGTTATCCATTGCTAAATTATGGCTCATCATAGACTA